ACTTCTATCAAGCTCTAATGGGTCTTAGTGTGATATTTGTCCTGAATATGAAACACTGCCTGTCATGACTTGTATATTTTAACAAAATGTGTTCATCAGTCTTGTATATGTACCTCTCTGTGTGTACTACGTGTGTCTTTGTGAATAGCTTTTTTTCCCACCTGCCACTGTGCCTGAAAGCATCTGACAATCAGGGGTGTATTAGAGGGTTGAGGAGAGATTCCACTCTGGCTAAGTGGCTCTTATTACTGTGGAGTGTGACATTGCTCTGATATTCATGATTCACAGTGCTGTTGACACACCGTAGAGTCACAACTCAGCTGACTGCAGCTTCTCTGGTGAGGGGTTTTCCCCAGAGAGTGTATGGACCTGCTCATCATTCAATTTTTTATAGTTCACTGAAAACACGATAAGAGTTGTATTTTTATGTGTTATCGAGAAGAACTACATAGAATGACCCAGAATCAGGATGAGGTACAATATCCAAAAGAGGATGTTTCAACACGGCAGTATATTGGAATCCTGGCTGGTGTGATTAAATAATCGAATAGCTGAAGCCAAATTTCAACCAATAAATAAAAATGGCCCTCTGAACACATTTCCATGCCAATTTAAGTGACTGTGTCACTTATTCATGACTCTTCTTTGGGACGGCAGTGGCTCAGTGTATAGGGACTTGGGTTGGGTGTCTGAGGGTCGCCAGTTCAAGTCCCATTGCTGCTCAAAATATGGAAGTTGGTCTGGTAGCTGGGGAGATGTCAGGTCACTTCCCGAGTACTGTCGAGGTGTGTAGTGGCCCAACTCTCACATCTTTCCACTAATGCTATCCACAGTTCGTGTTTGTGCATGTGTGCAATTTGGGCCTTTGTGTGTGAGAAGCATTTCTCTCAATAACAGAGTGAAAAAACAGAATTTCTCCTGGGGATTAAAAAAAGTATGTATTATAAAAAGATTAAATTCACAAATTTTAAATTCACAGTGGTGCTAATGACATGAATGACGGTAACATGAACAGAAGTTAGCTACTCAAAGAAGATATAGACACTGGGATAAAAGAAGAAGACAGCAGGGTGATGCGGGACAGCAGTAGTTTGAAGTTAAAGCATGAAGCATGATGGGTAAATCTGAACCAAACTGCTGTGAATACATACATGAATCCTGCTCTTCACATTTTAAGGGGTCTTGTGTTTTCTTCAGTTAATCAGAAATTGTCATGCATCAGTATTTGTCATGCAAATATATCAAATAATGCATAATTTGCTGTATTGTGATCTTATCGTTACCTTGGACCAGGTATCATGTATCATAGAGTATTGTATCCGATCATGAATTACCCTTTGATTTCAACCCTTATGTTCAAAAAAACAGAAAATCCAAATCGAGTGCCAGCAGTGTGCAAACATAGTCGTGTTGAAATGAGAGGCCCAGGCTGGCCAAAAACAACAACAACAACATGCAGCTAATGCTGCTCTCATTTAGGTGGAAAGTGTAGAACGAGCCCAAGAGGCCCGTAAGCAAGCAGCTGATCTCTTGTTCCTGAGACATGAAGCAGCTTAGTTTTACGCGCTCAGGACGCTCTTCAATCACGGTTGCTTAAACCCCAATCTCCTTAATGTGGAGTGCCAAGCAGGAGCTCAGCGGGTCCCTTTACGAGGACAAAGGTTTCATTTGAAAATTGAAAGTATGACCTCTTCATGAAGGACACTCTGACCACAAGGCCACTGAGCTGGAATTAAAAAGAAGGGAACAAATGGGTTTTTTTTATAGCGTGATGCTTTAGCCTGAATGCAAAATTCAAACAAATAATATCCAACTCATTTATCACATATCAATATTATCTTCTTATGTGTACTTTATTTGTGCTAAGATTACATGTGATAACATTGTTTTATTCATTCATGTGGAAACTTGCCTGCTTGTGCTTGTATGTTTGCTTATACATTAGCTCAACTATGTATGCATTCATTCTTATTCTATATGTTTTTATTTTGTTGCCAAGTGTCTGTACTTCTGTTTTTGTGTGAATGCTTTAGTGTCATTAGTTCTGTTTTTGATCGATTGTGCATTTCTGTAGTTTATGTGTCCTGTTGCAAAAATACAAGGTCATATGTGTTTGTCATTTAGGCTACACTACTACTGCATGTGTTTGCAATATTTAAGGCTCTTGTAGAACTCAATCATTCGGCTGGAGTATTTCCTTGTCGATATGACTTAAACAGCCAAATGAAATTAAGCAGAAATGCAGCTGTTCAACAAAGCTGTCTGATAGTATTTCAAATCAATACAAGAACACGAGAGATGAAAGATCTACACATTCTCTCTATGATTCAATTCTTCCCCTATAGGTTAAGGATACATAGGAGGCTCTGAACTACTCCAGCTTCTCCTTGTACCACCTTTGTTATCCCCTCTGACCCAAACAAACAGTAAGTGTGGTGACAGTTCAGGGAAACACTATAAAGTAGAGATGGTGTGACACTTTGCTTTATGCACTTAATGCTCATTACTCCTTTCAACGGCTGAGCTGCAATGGTACACAGCTGCTGGCTGTGATCACAGCTTCTGCTGCTCTGCCTGCCTGCCTGCCTGCCTGCCTGCGCTGTGCTGCCTGCCTGCGCTGCCTGCGCTGCCTTCAGCTGCCTTCAGCTGCCTTTGTGTTCTTCTCTATGGTTTCAGTTTTGGGATAGAGCTACGTGCAGGATTTGAACCCTAAAGGAATACATTAGATATGACAGATGTGTTTTAAACAAAGTTAAGATAGCTCTACTACACAGCTAAGCCAGGACAAACATATTCAATGTTTATACACAGTGACTGCATATAGTTAGTGCTCACACATGGTAATGTAAAATATGTCACATACTGAGTCATTACAAGTGAATAATAGCAATGGCTGCAGCCGCAAAAGAAGAAAACAGTTGGAAGTTTGTCAGACCGAGACAAGATAGAGTAAAAATTCTTCCAATTCCGAGACGAGACAGAGACCTACTACAATACTAGTAGTGTCACAGTCACAGCCAGCGGTGCTCTGATACATTATACAATAACACTATATTACAGGACAGCTCTGAAAACACTGTGAGAAGCAAACCATCATGCAAAAGTAACTGTGGGAAATTCAGATATTTAAATTATATTATGACCTTTCAACATTTCTGCAAAACTTAACAGAAAACATTTTATACTTAAAATAAAAGCTGCAATGTGTTAAAAAAAATAAATCTGCTGTTTAGAATGACATACTATTGCGAGGATGATGCTAAGTTATTATAAATGTCATAAGCATTTGCACTCGTCTTGTTCCCCTCTTATTTAAATGTCATTTTGACAAAACAATACATCAGTATCTCTTCAACACAAAAACGCTCGTTTTACTCCTCCTCACATGTAAACTCACACATGTCGTGTCATGTCATTTGTGTTTCTGGGGTGTAAGTTGATTTTTTTCTCTGTCGTAATTACATTCAATGTTTGTAATTTAAAACTATTGAAAAATAGAAATAAAAGTATTATGTCATCGAAGATTAATAAATCAATGATTCTCCTTCTGACACTTCTTTTTGGTAGAGATGCACCGATCCACTTTTTTCAGTTCTGATCCGATTCAGATACAAATGTACTAATACTGATATTTCTCTAGTCATAATTCATATTGTTAAGTGCAACAAAATAAATGCATAAAAAATTAACTTATTCTGATGAACTGTATTTGAAAAGTGTGCTGGCTTCACATACAAACAGGAAGCAGCAACAACTGTCAGGTTTTCAAAATAAACCTTTGAAACTGAAGTGTAAGACTTGCACTTTTGATCATACAGGAGGAGCTGTTCTCTCTCGTCTGAATGTCTTGATGGAGGAGATCTGTGGTCACTTCTCACAGTTCAGTCTGAAGTGAGACTTTGCGAGCTTAGAATGTTGAAAGTGCACAACGTACTGACGTGGATCAGCATTGGAAATCTGATATCTAAATTACATCAATATCAGACCTGATACTGATATCAGATTGGATATGTCCCATCTTTTTAGATATGAAACATTCACGTATCAATTACAAAAAGAAACATATTACAATGATGATTATGTTATTCTTCATGTTGTGTCTTTTTCTGTATGAAATATAGTTTCCTTTTTATTACTGAGAGACGCAATAACCACTGGCATCTTTTTATCTATAAAGCCCTTACTGGAAAGCTTCCATCATATATCCCCTCCTTGTTACATCTGAATCCTGGTCCATTTTTAACCCGCTCGAAAAAGATAGAGAGAGAGGCTGGTTCTCCAGGTTCCTCATGCCAGGACTGACCTGGGGAAAACTGCTTTTAGTGTTAGTGCTGCAAACTCCTGGAACATTTTACAACAGGACCTGAATTTGAGCACTTTTATCCCTTTATGGACACTTTAGAAATATTATTTTTAATTGCCCTATACCTGACTGTAACTGTTTTATTTGATTTTAATTGCTGACTTATCACTGTAGTAATTTCAAGCTTTTAAATTATTTTAGTGTATGTATTTTATTGTTGTTATTGCTCTTTTATTGATTTTATTTTCTGCAGTAGCTTTATCTCATTTCTCGTTGTTTATCATTTATGTGTGTTTTCTCGGCATCATTGTAAATGAGGGTCGCCCTCAATGATCTCTCTGAGAACTTAAATAAAGGTTGATGATGATGATGATGATTACAGAAGGAGATGATCAAAGGGACTTTTGTGCTTTATGCTCAGCTTATATCGTAACAACTTTATTTGTGATGATGTATTCAGCATTAAAAGAATGAAATTCAGATTTTTACAATAATTCAGTGTCATTTATGAGGTTTTGAAAGTATTGGAGTGAAATCAGAAAAATAAATGAGTATATAGATCACACCCCAGTCATCTACTAAGCTTAACAACCCCACCCTCCTTTCCAATGGTTGCAGTGTTTACACTTATCTGTGTTATTAAGTAAAGTGTGAGTGCAGTCTTTTAAAAAACTATAGTAGTAAAGTCGAGACTGACCTGGGCCTTGATGCTGGACCATCTCAGACAGATCTCGCTGGTGGATGAAGAGCACTAGACCTCCAGCGGCAAACAGCAGGAGGAACCAGAGTGAACACGGCAGCCTCCTTCTCCGTCCTCGCAGGGAGTCCACCACCATCTTCCACTTCATCCCCAGCATGATGGGACACAGTCAGACACTAATGTAATAACTTCTGCAAGAAAATCAAAAAGAGCGGGAAATGGGAAAAGGCGGGGGAGCGAGACAAAGACAAAAGAAGAGTGAGCATATGAACATTATTTTCTTTGAATCAATGCATTACAGATCAAAATGTTTTTAAGTCATTATTAACTCATTTTCAGTTAATGACAGGAAATCAAATGATGTTCACCCAGGAGCCCCACTGGCTGAAATGTGCAGGGATTGTGTTTTTGCATAGTAGTCTACTTTAATAATCCTTGACATGTATTTTTCCCTCTGTCTCAATAATAATAATAAAGCTGTTCTTTCAACTAGAAGTTTTGATCGTCTCAGTAGTAAAAGGTGACTCACTCTACGTATTTAACATCATTGATGTATAAACCAATGGTGCTTCACACTTCATTATCTCCATTTTATGCTAATTTGTTCATTTATCCAATTTAAAACTAGGCATGTGGGCGTTTAGTCGGCTACAACGTTAAACCTCATCACCCGCGCTAGTCAGCACCATAATGACTAGTCAATTATAATAATTATGAATATTTTGAAATGATGGCCCTAGCTGCCTCGATGTCAAATGCTATGCTCAAATTGGAGCTCCGGTTAATGGGTCTGCTCTCCCTGCACTACTAACCAGATTTAAAGAAGCACAGTGACCAGATAGCATCTCATAGCAGTAAGACATTAGTGGGTACATCCCAAAATTAAACTAATAAACAATTTGACTAATACTAATACAGTTTACTACAACACATTTGTTAGATAAGTTAAATTAGAGGTTACTGTAAAAGACTTCTGTTCAGCTTCAAACTAGTATAAAGCCAGGCAAATATCCCGATTCCCTACACTCTGACGAGTACTCTGTTTATTCCATTTTTCTTCCATAACTGATGGTGGAACAGGGCTTATGTCAGCCGGTCTATTGTGTCTTTAGTCAACTGGAGGGATCTGTGTTGCGTCCATATGTCTTTAATTAAAGTAGATATTGGCCTGTTTTACTCGAGTTTATGACATCTATATACACCCTGTATTGGGGCTGGCAGCGTGGATCATCAATGTGTGTGCTTGTCTGAGTGTGTGTGTGTGTGTGTGTGTGTGTGTGTGTGTGTGTGTGTGTGTGTGTGTGTGTGTGTGTGTGTGTGTGTGTGTGTGTGTGCGTGTGTATATAAAGCTTTAACCATTTGTATGCATTCTGTGCCTCAAGCACTTCTGCATCACTGTAACCCAATGTGAAATCACACACTGTTACGCAACAGCAGACGCAATGTACAAGTTCAAATGCATAATGATGATAGCAATTTACATTTACTTTACTAATGCTATATGTTTTGTTGCAGAATGGGAATATGTAGGGCTACTAAGGTCAATTTTTTGGAGAGCACATCAAGGCTAACATTAACAGGGGCTCAACGGTACTTTTAATACTTTCAGTGCATTTGTAAACTCACATACTTGACTTACATGATATTATCAATGAAGGTCATTCACTCAGTTTTGCCTCAGAACCGATTATGATAAATGAATGCTGTGTATGCTTGTGATAAAAAGAACCGTATCTCTTGACTTAAATCAAAGTCACTCCTGATTTGCACCAAAACAAAATAGTCCAGAAATGACCTGATGTGAGCACAAGAAAGACCCCTGATCAATTTAAACATGCTTATAAGGTTCATACTTTATACCATCAGTATGTCAGGGTTCAATGTGGAGATTCAGAGCTAAAGCAATTCAGTTGAGGTAACAGACACACAGAAGGAGAAATTAAATCAGGAAAGCTTTATTTAAATCCAGCACCTGTGTTTATCTAAATTAGAGGGGAAAAAAATTATGCAGCTTTAAATAACACAGCAACAAGATAAACTAACAACTAATTCCTCCAAATAAAGAAATCTGTACTCTGTTTGTAAGGATTCAGTCGGGTAAACATGAGTCCAGTTGGACTGGTGTGTCTGCAGACCAACCCTGGAATCTGTTTATACGGCACAAAGACCACGTAGCATCTGTCTCCAAATGAATATGCAAATTACCTCCAAGTGTGGGTTGTCAATGCAGGAAATAACATCGACTAAGTGTCCATGATGTCAAGACTTTTAAAATGCATCTTATGCGGAAAGTAAAGGTAATAAAAAAGCTGTTAATGACTGAGTTAGATAACATGTTTCATGTTGTGATGCTCAAATCAGAGCTACTACTGTCAGGAATTCAGTTGTTTAGTCAACTTGTTTATGAGGCTGATAAAATACAGAGATAATGCAGGAAACAGGAACTACAAATAAACAGGTGAAATAAAAATCCAGATGGTCGGATAAATCTGTCTCACCATATGATCAATCAAAGTAACAAGCTGTGAGACAAAAAGACATGAAAACAAAAAAATAAATGTAGGAAAAATATTCAAAGAGTGGTAGAATGAGAGAATGTTCACTAGTTCACAAGTGTGTATGTGTGGATTCATTTCAAAGAGAGACAACAAGTCACTTTAAAACACCCGAGGAAATATCCTTTTAATCATGAACTCTGCAGTTTTATCAAGTAAGCATCTTATCCACATGAAACGTTGCTTTTCTTTTTTTATTAAGTGCTGATGCAGCCTCATCAGAGGTTCATAATGATTTGTCTAATCCATTATAGTTACATCACTCCTCCATCCTGAGGACCATAAGTTATCAAAATACTGTCTACAAGGGCTGGAGGGATATTATTTTTAGACAAAACAATTACCCTGTCCATAATTAATATGAAGCTTTAATCATAAAAGCTATCTCACTTAGTAACAAACTCTTTCTCACTTTCACATTTGATTCCTTTAAACACTTTAATCACAATCAGCTCATTGAGGACGGCCATCAAACTGGGGTATGTGACTCTGATCAATACAAGACCAATGTCTAAGGTCACATATTATACTCATGTTCAACCAATACATCTCTGAGCTCCCCAAAAAATGTCTGTAAAGTTTCCTGTTAAATTTCCTCTATGATCTTGTATTTAAGCATTTCTGTAAACCCCTCTATTTCAGCCCTGCTCAGAACAGGCTGTTTCTGTGTCTGTACCTTTAAATATGTAAATGAACTGTGTCTGACCACGCCCCTCTTGAAAGCTTAGTGGCTCAGGCTTTCTTGCTCCATGCCCAATTGTTTACAGTGAGAAGGCAGACTCAGAGTGCAGAACAAACACGTAGCTTTGGGAGTGTCACCCACCTAGGGGAGGGGTTACTGCCCTTTGTGATGTCATGAAGGGAAAATCTCCCAACGGCATGTTTGAGCAAACATTTTCTGAAAAGTGGAGCAGGTTAAAGATGGAGAGGATGAACTTTTCTCCTAATTTGGGGGTTTCTAGGCAGACTAGGGACACATTAGTGTTAGTGTCACAGAAACATGTTAAGGTGTATTTTGCATAATATATGACCTTTAATATCTTGGTCAATAGCTGTCTGTTCTGTGTGTCTACTGAAAAGATTTTGGTGTTTTTGCTGTGAAAATTAGAAAACAACAGCGGTCAGAGCGGGCAATAACATGTTTCAACCAATCAGCAATAAGAAGTGTTCATGTGCTATACTAACCTCTGACCTCTCCCTCTCCCTGCATGTCTTTGCCAATGAGGAAAAGAAATACATAATAGTAATAACTGCTGCTTCCCACCTTTGGAAGTTTTACTCATCTCTGGACAGCAGACACTTAGAATATTGCAATATAGGTTGTTAAGTTAGTAGTTTGTGCTGTTTCTCCAACATTGTGCGTCCACTGATTTGGGGGCGGAGCTTATTGGAAGCAAGAAAGGAGGGATGCATTTGTTGGTCAATTTTTCTACCATTGCTGCCAATAAATGCTTGGCATAACAACTTGCATTTTATTCATGACTTATGATCAGATATCTTATTTTATCTGCTCTTAGGTTAACATGTGAGAAAGCATGTTTTTGGGAGGATGTTCCTTTATTAAGTCTCATAGCATTGCTTCCCCCTCAAAATAATGTTGCTATAGGCTTTAATTGCAAGAAACGCCTCACATATTTTTAAACTTCTTAACAGTTTACAATTATAAAAACTATTATTTGACTACTCTTAAAACTTTTGTCCATTCAGTGTCTGTATTTCTGCCTATTTAATCAATTCAAATGTCATTGCTACAAAGATAGGAGCAGTTGTTGACAGATTCTTACATCAAGCTAAAAGGTGAAAGCCATTAGCATCTAGAAAAAACTGGTCCTGCAGTGAAAATTCAGCATATACGCTGTCAATAGCTGTCATCATAGGATAGCATTAAAATTGAAAAGACAGCGTTCACTTGGACAGATGATAATTTAGCTGACATGGCATTGATGTCCATATCAAAGGGGAAAAACATCACAGCTCTTGCATTTGTAAGGATTAAACCAGTCATGGAGATGTGAAACCATTAGACCACCTTGAAACCCATTTATTCTGCTTTTCATTGACATTTCATTTCCATATGAATGTTTTCAGGTCATTCTGAAGGGGACGCGATACAGGCACAGATACGCATTAGATAGAAAAATGACATTATAAAGTCAGTAAAATGGGTTTCTCAGTGCAGACGCATTATTGCTATGAGCAGCCAACCCTATATTTGAAGGGAAGGAGACCTTGTTTTCCACATTTCTTCCTCTCTAATGACTAAAAAGTCCATTTAAATGAGTGTTATTATCATTCCAGTACAGTATAGAAGTCATTTCAAACCCTCGTGAACGAGAGGAGCTTTGACAAAGGTTAAAATACAAGTATAGCACAGTGTTAGTGATCTTTTTACAGAAGGCCATGTTGATTGTTGTTGCATAATGATGATATGGAGCCTCTGTGTTCAGTAGACTAAATAATTGTTGTGTTTTATAATATTGAGGAGTTACATCATATCTTCTGCTCTTTCCCTAATCTTAAAGCCAACGGAGCAACGGAGACGACAGAGTGATGGAGAGAAATGTATATAAGAAAAAGAGAAGCATGCCTGTGTCAAATTCTTCATGATGTGTTCATAGAGGTGTATGCATACATGT